GGAGGAGAGAGGAGGGCAATCAAATAACACTTAGTTTAAGAAAGAGCTGATTTTCAACCTAGCACCTCCCTTTTTAGCACCAAAAACAAATACAAACGCATCCCTTATAGTTTTAAGATGAAATTTGCAGTTGGCCGCATCCCTTATAGTTTTAAGATGAAATTGTTGGCTGGTGGCTAGAAAGCCGATGCTCTGCTTTGAGGCACACGACTGCCTCAATACAAGAATATCTTATGTGCCAACTTGCAACTAAGCCCACATAGTTAACAGCTTGCAACCTCCTTTCCCCCAGAAGATCTCCAGTGTTGAGTAACAAAATTCCTTGCATGATTTCAATGAGAGGGTTCACTTGACAGAGGCTGCTTCAAGATAGTATCGTATGTCAGGGAGGTGCTGTTTAAGATGAAGCTTTTCAACTTAGTATTTTCAAGACTCAATTGAAAACAAAAAAACCTCAGTCTATAAAGTCTGAGGCTGGAATAAAGAAAAATAATCTCTAGATGTTATTTTTAAAATGCGGAAGTCAGCCAATTAATGAAGAGAGAAGAAAAAGTGACTAAAGCCTGACGAACTCTGGTGATGAGGGACTGAATACCAGCTCTTCTGCAGACTCCATGTATGAATCCAGGCAAGTTAACCTCTCTATACCTCAGTTTGCCACCTGCAAAATGAAAGGGAACATTTTTCCACATCCTGTTATCCTGGTTTGCATTGTTCCCCAAATCAAAAGCACTTGTCAAAACACTTATCTGCAGCATTAACATTGGCAATTGCATTCGCAGCTACCACCAAGGCAGTTTGCGTGCCTGAGTGCTGAAACATGAACTCTCCATATATTTAGCTACCCCACTGCCCTAGTCTTTATAATGTCCCAAAGTGCCTTTCTGACATGTCAGGAATAAATATTGGAATACTAAACTGTAACTCAGAGGTAGTCTAACACACAAAAACAGCTTTAGGGATATGAGGTAGGCACCTCCTTCCCTCCAAAAAATCAAATTTTCCTGAACAACTTGTGAAAAATCCCACTATAATCACACCACTGGTCTCACATAATTGACAACCAACAAGATAATACTATCAAGACAGTATAATTAAAGGCCCAATCCCACATGGAATTGCATGGGGACTTAGTTCCTGCTCTATTAAAATTGGTAGAAATGGGAACAGACTGCAGAAGGGTCCGATCTGCATAAAGTTATCAGCAAGACAAATAAGAATCCGATTGTGAAAGGAGATGCCTTTAAGCTGGAAGCATCCCTTAAAAGCGGTTGATTTTAAAACCTAAAAACATCCTAGAACATGAGAAGCATTTGGAATGCTGCAATGCAATTTTGCAGCAATGTAGGGCCTCCCTGATCCCTACATCCACAGCACTAAAATACACAAAATCACAAATGCCTTTCCTCAGATTAAGATATGTTGTCATCTCATCTCACACAAATCTGCTTATTTCTCCTTTTCAGTTTCATTAATTCTTCCAGTTTCCCTTCCTACCATCATCGAACACTCAAATATCAACACTGTCCTACTGACATCCAAGGAAAAAAGAGCAGTCCTGTAAGTTAACAGCAGAACCACTCTTGAAGTCCATGCTTATTTTCTTAAAAATAAAGAGTGTCACAAACGTACTTTTCCAGATCCTGATAGGAGGGAAAAAAACATAAAGAACTTCCATGAACTTACGGATTATCACTATTAATCACTTCGCAATAATTTGATTTTTAAAATACTGGACAGGTAGGAACTCTTAACATTGCTTTGAAAGACACCAGTGAAATCCACACTATAAATACAGAAACAGTCTTAGAAGCCTTGAGCTTTCTGAAGCACATGCTAGTTACTAGTTCTGAGGAATTATCAGAATCACAGAACTAGAGATGCATATTTTCTAGAAAGGTCACCAGAGAGAAAGGAATTGCTCAAGACTGCTTAATAAAGTAGTTGGAGAGATAAGCCAGCCTCCTCCACACAGGATTTTCTTGAAGATTTCCTTACCGCTCCTTGGAAACCCTGCAGTTTCACCTATGGAAGCATTCCTATAAAACAGCTGGCATCCTGCACACCACAATGTCGTCTAGACCTGCTCGCAGCCGAGTCGGATGACACAGTCATAAAAATGCTGATGCCTGTTCTGGTGCTCGCCCCGGTGCTAAAGGAATGATAGGAGGAAGCACCGACACAGCGAAGTCGAACACAAGTTCCTTGTTCCCAGCCTCATGCCCGGGCTCGTCAGACAATTCTGTCAACCATACAAAAAAAGTTGGGGCTGTCACGGGGCTAAAGAAGAATCTCCACGTAAGAGAGAAAGACGCAGCGTTCCCAAATCCCAGTTTGCACATATAACATCAAATCTTGTTCTTCAGGGAGCCCAGCGCTCCTGGAACGGGCAGATAACAAATGCAGCCCGACATCATACGATCACATCCATTTCCCACTTCTCCCCCTACTTCCCGCCCCAATCTGCATGTCAGAAACGTTTTTCTTAGCAATTTGGAAGAGAAATGGCTAAAAGGGAGATGCAAAACACTGGCATAAATTAAGTTTGCTCTCTGCTGTTGAAGGGTTTGGCCCTAGCATGACAGGAGGAAAAAAAAATAAAAATCTTAAGAGTGATAAATCCATATATACCTACTCCAAACTACACCCGACATCCCAAGGGACACTGTATAATGGTAAATAAATATAGATGCAGCTCCTACTAATGAGGCAGGGTACAGCAAGGCCAAAGAAAATGCAATCATCTCAGCAAAGAAAACAGCACAGGACCAGTCCTCTCCCATCCATGGAGGGAATCAAGTGCCAGCTGCACCATCCCAGGAAGGAAGCTGAGTCTGTACCTGCCGAGCCCTGCAGAAACGACCTCGTCGGATCATGGGATGCCAGGGGCGCTTCAGACCATCTATTTCACACAGTGTCAATTCATGCAAATTGTAGCTTTTCCACCAGTTTCCTTCTCCTCCTTCCCCGTTAGTTGGGAGCAGGGGCACGTAGCCAGTGTCTATCAGGTCTGCTCCGACCCTGTGCTCTCCAACGCGTTCCCCGGCCGTCGGTTTAACACTTTCCTCCCTCCAAAGTTTAAAACCTTCCCAGCTTTAGTTCGGCCACGTTTTGTACTTAATGCCACTTAGCTTTGCTCCCCGCATTACTTAAGCTCAAGAACAAATTAAGATATATCTGACCGCGAACGCGCTCACAATCCTCATTTCCCCTTCCTCTTGCCCTCCCTCAACCCCCACTAAAAAACAATGAGAAAAAAAGCTTTTTTTCCCTTCCCTAATACGAGCAGGGAAGGAAAAACAGCCCACACAATCCAGGGTTTTCCTCCAGTAAGTCTGAGGAAAAGACAAACAGCAAGGAAAACCCACCCTTTCCAAAGTATTGCTCTGCAAACATACCAGGAGATACTCTTAAAACAACTCAAAAAAAAAAAAATAAATCAGATAAAACTGAGCTTGAAGCACTCAACGCAGCCGCCTCGCATGCATCTTGCACGTAAAAACCAATCGTGCTCCGTGTTATTTGACCCCTCCAAGGAGCACAGAGCAGTTGAGCGCTTCCCCACCGCTTTACCCTAAAGTATTTGGGGGTTAAATCCACTCTCCACCCAAGCAAGAGCACAGGGAAAAAAAAAAAAAAAGGAGCATTTAACCAGTCTCCAGAAGTACAAAACAACCCAGCGCGCAACACCCCACCCAAGAGCTCCTTGCGTTTGGGGAATGACTCCCCTCTGCGTCCTCCTCGTTAAAACTCCGGCAAGGAGACACCCCGGGTTGACCTGTTCTCCCCGCGCCAGCAAAACCCCGGGAGCTGCAACAAATCCCCCCCTGCAGCCCCTTCCAAGGGGACCCAAGGAGCCCCCCTCCCCAAACAGCCTCCTGCAGCCCCTCGCCGAAGCGTCGGGGCA